GCGCTAAGCGAGGCTATCTTAACATGTAAATAATGGGGTTAGGGGAAAACGGATAAAAATGGTTAGGCATTAAATTTAATACAGTCAAAAGTCGTTAATTCGGACACCCATAATCCGGAGCTCAAAGCTAAAAACTTTCTGCGCATGCGCATAGGCGTTTAAGCGTGCGCGCAAGACCTTTACGACTGCGCAAGCGCAGAATACGTTTTCGCGTGCGCGTTTAATGTGTAACGGACGGTATAAGCTAAAATTATCTATTTCAGTTAATGCTGATGATTGCGTTGTTCCTTAATCTTCGAATTGGATCCGGCTTATTATTTTTTGCAGACTGTAAGAGCAATTTTATAAAAGTAAGTTTGAACTTTCGATTATGTCAAATAGAATTTCCGATGCTGGAGCTCCCAAAGGATCTAGAAACGAAAGTATGTTTCGATGTCCATCAAACAAAAAGTGGAATTGCTACAAAAAATGGATAAAGGCCGCATATCCTTTATTTATCTAACCGTTCCGAAATCTGTTTATCAATTTCACGCTGCTCTGCGCGGGGGGGGACGTCGCGGGCGCGCAATGAACTGGAAGTTGATCTGTCAGCACTATCGTTATCTTCAGGGCAGATGTTTTTATTTTATTCGGCTTATAATTCCTTACTAAATGTAGTATTTCATCTCGATGTACTGTCTTTGATATGATTTAAATCAAATTCCTCGTCATTATAAATATCACAAATACACATCAAATAATTTTCTGGTTGCAATTTTCTAATTTCGATTTTGCGCAATGTATGCTTTACGCATGGGCACGTTGAAAGAAATGTTTAATAAAGTAAACAAATAAATATTAAGCTTTTTTTGGTAAGTTTTGATATTCTTTAGATCATAATTGCTCATTATTTTATAAATTATGGTTTCATATTTTTGATTTTATAATTTCTGCATGCCATCTTACCAGATTTAAACTGTTGATCTATAATCCGGAATCGCCGAAGTCCCGATTAAAGACTTTTGACTGTAATGTTTTTTAATAAAAATAAAATCAAACATTTATTTCTTACAAAAATAAAAACAATATAAACGCATATACTTTTAAAAACAAATAAAATTCTCAGTCAGATCATTCAGTCTATTCGGGTTTCCAATTTTCTGCCTTTTGTTAAGAAGGCATTATGATAGATTGGCTTAATGGCATATTGCGTTCAATTTCGTCGTCAATCCATATAGACAGTCGTTTTTTCCATTTCCTCTATAATGTTATTTCTAGAAAGGGTAATTCTAGTTGCAGAGCTTTGACGTAGTTGCAGTTGACGATGACAGTATTTTTTCTGTATTCTTAAGAATTGTCCTTATTGTTGAAGTTGCCAAAATCAATGCAGCACTAATTTGAGATTGACGTTCACCAGAAATCTAATCTTCTAATCAACTTGCATTTGAGTTTCCAGTGAAATGCTTTTTGGTTGCTTTCTTTTCTTGTTTTTTATTATCACCCATGATAAAAACTAAAGATCATAATATTTGTTACTGTATTAATCGTTATAGTAATTATATAAATTTATACTTACAATAATGTCAACGAATGTTTCAAATGATAAAAATGCGTCTGTACTGCACCAAACAAGAACAACACTGTTTCGGATATGTTATTTGGAAACCTAGCGCTGCGCACAATTTCGGAGAATCCCCGGGTTGAAATAATAGAGCGCTAAACCGAAACAGCGTTAAGCGGGGTCTTACTGTATGCTCCCTAAAGCTTCATCGTGAAACTCTTGTCTCTGAATGTTAGAGACTGGAAAAGATGGTAAGCAGAAGTGTTCATTCCCCCCCACACACACACACACTTGACACTCCATACTGCTCAGCTGTGAAAATGGCCAAAACAAATTATTAGCAACATCAGACTCCTGTTCAAAATGGTCAAATTCCAGACTGAAGAGAAACAGTTGACTAATGAAAAATGAGAGCTTCGTAGTGCAGTGTTGCCAACCAAATGAAGAAAGACACAGACTCGTGCACCAACCCAATATTTTTCATATACATTTCATGAATTTTTTTCCAAAATTGGTAAAATTACTGGTAAACCAAAATTTGCTTATAAAATTTCCTTAATTATGAACATGATTATCACTGATCCTATAGGGGAGAGAAAGCAGATGTATGAAAATTATTCTCTTCAGTCTTAAATAGAATCGCATGGAAGCTCCATTACTAAGCACCAAATTTGGAATACAAGCCTCTTAACTTTTTTAGTTTCATTTAGAATGAAGAACTAATCTTTTATGTGTCTATGTGAGAAAAGGTTTTCGTCATTAACTAAATAAGTACCAAAATCAACCTGAATATATTTTTCTTATCTTCAACTAAACTTACTATCATGGATCTAAATAATAGAACAGCTGTCCAAAAATCGACAGGCTCATTCATATCAGTTATCAGTGCTTTTTAGTAATTAATATACAATATAACTTGATACCAGCATAAAATTAAATGAATTTGAATTTTGTTTTAGAAGTGTACTAGTAGTATAACATGTTCTACTTTCGGAGGACCGAGAGTAAGGTGTTCTGCAGAACATTCTAATTTATTAAAAAATTTCAGAAACGCTGATCTAGACCTCATGTTGAGGGATAAATGAATTTAATGCAATTATTGACAGTTTACAGATTTTAAGTAGACAAAATTATAGTTTTCCTTTCGTGGCATACATCTCGCTAAAAATCTGAATGTGCTAGTTCTTCATTGTGTTTCACGATGAAGTTTCTCTTTGCACATGGATAAGAGATTTCTTCAGCTCGAAACCACAATAGTTCTACAGGAGACTTACTGAACTCCTACCTGAACACTGGCAGCAGGTGGTCATTAATAAAGATAGTGATAATATCTCTAAGTGTATATACACTCTTTTGGAGGAAGGAAAAAAAAAAAAAAAAAGCAGCAGCAGAAGAATCATGAAGGAAGTGGTTGTTTTTGATGAAATTGAATATGTGTATAGCTCATACACAGATAATAAAATAATTCAAAAATCAAGGTCGTAGTACTGTTCATGGCTCACAATCACTCATTGAGTTGTAACGTTGCGCGCCTCCAACTTGCACGCAACCAAGAGGTGACTGTGGAAACTGGATAAAACACAGTCTTGTGAAGGGTTTAAGTCCCTTTTTATTCAACGTAATAAATTACAATTGCGTGCTCTTGACGCTCACAGACTGCGCCAACTCGGGGGTCAAATAAAAATAATAACCTGAAAAGAAACTAAAGACAAGACTCTAACTACGAGGCTCTCTAAAATAACTAACTCACCGCGTTTTACAATACCGCTGCTAATTCAGCAGACTTGAACGATTAACACTACTTCCCGCCAAGCACATAGGCCGAAACGCCGGGTTCTTCAATTTCTCGCTAACTACCTCCGCGCTCGTGAAGTAAGAATATCACACTCCGAACTCGTTTCCTCTCTATTTAAATCATAATACTTCCGCTGATAATTTGAATCCTTGCACGTTCTACTAAAATTTACATATTCTGGCATTGGCAGTTCCAGGGGAAAGTAAGGCTTGACAGGAAAGATAGTTTAAACTTAAAATAAATGTTAGTTAAAATAAATATAAACCCTACAGAGTGTTCAAATTAGTATTGGTTGAACCGCCCCTGGCAGCAATGCATGCTTGAATTCGTCAAGGCAAAGAGTGGTAGAGGTTCCTAACGTCATCCTGCGACGCATTCATCAGTTGTCGCTCCAGATCTGCAATATTTTGTGGTGCCTGAATCTGGCAGTCTACCATACCCCAGACATGCTCGATTAGTGAAAGTTTTGGTGACCTTACTTGCAAAGGAAGAGTATTAACTGCACGGAGATATAGTCCAGAGATATCCGAGCAGTATGTGGCCTGGCATTATCTTGTTGGAAAATGGCCCCAGGATGATGTGCCATGAAGGTTAATTCAACTGGCCGCAGGATGGTATCAACATATTGTTGAACTGTTAAAAATGTACAGAGGGTGAGTAAAGATGACCTGCTGTCATAAGAAATAGCACCCCACACCATGGGAAAGGCTGATTGGGACTGCTGGACCCGTCCTCTCCAGACATGAACATGGTGGCCATCTGCTTCAAGAGTCAAGTGGGATTCATCACTGAACACTATACAATGCCAGTCTGGTGGCAGCCATGATGATCGGCTGCAAGCGCCGTGAGATGGTGGACAGTACCATGGGAAGTATAGATGTGGCTGAAGTGTGTTGAATAGTCGACCATGGTACCGTTGAGGCGGTTCGGGCCTGACGAACAATCATCCTATCTTGCCTCACACGTGTGATCTTTGGCCTTCCAGAGCCTTCATTTCATTGGCAGTTTCCTTGTAGCAAACATTGCTGCCAACATTTTTGCACAACAGCGTCTGTATGCTGCAGGTAGCGGCCTGTTGCTCGGTATGATCATCCAGCTTCACCTAACCCTACAATGCGACCACGTTCAAAGTTGTTTAGAGTTCTGTAAGGTCTTCGATATCATCGTAATGACATCTTTAGTTGCTTCTTTACGGAATTACAATGGCAGCAGCAAAAAACAAGATAAATTTTCCACCTCCGTTACTGGTTTTATACTTTGTGAATTGTGCAGTAGGATCGCAACTTCTGTTTGCATGTTCGATCATGATGCTTTTGCATACTAAATTTTGTCACGATCGCAAAAGTCCTTCTTGGTACTTCAATTTTTTTGCAAAAGAGTGTATATTGTTTTGTAGTACATTTTATACTAATAAAATTATAGCATGGTAAAAATGGCACAGACTTATGCACCAACCCAATATACCATTAGCAAACATTCTGAATTTCAAATGGTTAAGGTCAGAAATAAAAAGCTTTATGTGCATTTTTATTTGGCAAAATATCTGAAAGCCAGAATGTCAACTACTGGATTAAATGTAAAAATAACAGCTGCTTTTATGCTTCACATTATATGCAAAATATATTTTCACTGTATACTTGCATTTGCCATTTTTTTCCTTCTTAGGTGGAAAAGAAAAGGAGAAGCATATGGCACAGCATTATGGGAAAGAAATGATTTAGACTTTTTTTTTTTTTATTTTATTGGCAAACTAGATTTTTGAATCAAATTGTATAAATTAAGAATGTGTTAATACTTTTTGTGTAAAAAAAAGCCTTGTAAAGGAATAAAAATGAATATATATTCTGTGTACATTAGAATCATTTAATCCTGCTGTTATACACATTTACTTAGATTAAAAATACTTTCATTTCAGTTTTCTTCTAAGAATTTATATCTTGAAAAATCCCTATTTCTTTTGTCTACTTTCAGAGACAAATCCATACAAAAATAATGCAATGAAAAGAATAAAAATTATTTTAAATAGTTGATGTTTTAAATGTAATATGCTTATAAGGCAGTCAATAAAAATTGAGTTTTGATGATTTTTATATTTATCCTCCAGAGGCACTATGCATGCACTGCCTTTGGATTGGCCTTAAAACCATGTTCAGATTTTCTTTATTTGTTATTTGCCTAAATTGATTTAAGAAAGCTTTGCACAGATGTCAAGTCACAGCTGGAAAATGGTGCATCACGAAACGAATCTTTTATATGGATATCTGCACAACATATCCAATGCATGGAGATAGATGGGCATTATCATGAAACAAGATAAAATACTTCAACATCTAGGTAAATTGATTTCAATGTGCAAGTTTTTTTTTCATTGGCACATTTTATCATAATACATTCCCCCCCTTACAAGACTATATTTACCACACTCCAAAAATTAGTATATTAATCACCAAAGTAGTTAGCACTACATTCTCCCTACTACTATGGATGTCTTTGATTATGGCAAAGCCTACGAGGGCCTAAGATGGCTTGTTGGGGGAAATTGGCTCATATCCACACCTCACATAACGAAAATTATGAGATACCCATCTTTTCTGAGGGACTTAAACTCATGTCAATCTACCAGTGTTCATCAACTCTACTGCTCAGTCACAGAACTCCTACTATGAATGGCAACAAATGTCTTAGAAGGAGTATATACATCATGTTTCGATCAGACTTCTGGCTCAATGGTAGCATTTCACAACAGGAAGTCTTTCCTTTGTTATGCATTATTATAACAACATTGTCATATGCACAATTTGAATTGTCATATGCACAATGTTTTGGAACAATTCTAAATGCCTTAGTATTCCTGGACTGCATACTTCAGATAGTTTCAACTGCTCTGTGATTACGTCATGGATAGCTTAAGGCTCTCATGGCAGACTTTCAATATTAAGGTCTGCCATCTTACTGAGTAATTTTGAGAATCAGTAAAACATACAAGTTCTCCAGGATTACTTGTCAATAAATGGATCATCTGAGAAATAATGTGCACCATTCATCCAAACAAATAAGTGACATTATAACTGATTTTCCTTTCCTCCTCATCCACCTCCTTTGACCTTTCAATACTGCTTCTTTCATATTCAAAAACTGTTAATATCATGATGTATATGATTTTCGGCTCTCATATGCAGAAACTGGCTGGAAACGAATGATGAGTTGTTGACCCTCCAAAACTGTAAAAAGAAATACTCTCTTTAACAGCACATTAATCATTGTATTAATCACTTATGAATATTACTACTTATGAATTTCTGGCTTTACTGAGAGGGGCATTTAGCTTATTTTTTACTGACTGCACTTCACTTCTAACATGTACCTGATTATACTAAAAGTTACATTTCAAAAAACCTCATTGATTATGATATGGATTGCTTATAATATATACTATTTACTTAGTATGCAATTTGTAGTGTTTTATAGCATTTATTTAAACAAAAATGTCATAATATTTACATAAATAAGCAAATGTAATTAATTTTAGAGTCTTACATAGATTATACTAAAAATTACATTTCAAAAACTCTCATCGATTCTGATATGGATTGCTTATAATATATGCTATTTACTTAGTATGCAATTTGTAGTGTTTTATAGTGTTTATTTAAACAAAAGTGTCATAATATTTACATCAATAAGCAAATGTTAATATTATTCCCTCTTAATTTTAGAGTCTTATGAATATTGCTTTCTCTGTCTTTTTTTTTTTTTTAAAATGTACGCCATTAACAATTTCCCTACCCCTAAAAATCTGTGATAAATTATTACAACATCAAATATCCATTCACTAATTATAAAACAAGAAAATCACAACATATAATATACAGAAATGACAAATTTAATTAAAAAGATGCCAAAATTGGTTAATACAAAAAACTATCGAAGTATTACAAAGCTTTGTAACACAATTCCATTGTGGAAAAACATTGGCACCACAACAGGAATACCACCAATGGACCAGACATTGTAAGCTGAATTATGAGAAAAGACACAGAAAAATTCACACCTACAGATTTCTAGAACAATATGTTTGCCACAATACACAAATAAATGCCAATTTCTCCAGTAGCAAAAATGAAATGCACATTTGCTTTATAGGTATAACAACACCTTACAATGTATCAAAGTATGTCGGTATCAAAATGTCAACATATACCAATAAGATATTAAATCACAGTAAATTAAAGGCCTTTGCTGCATACAAACATTCTCAATAATTTACACTTGCAATCCAAATAGGATTCATTCTGATACTAAGCAAATATTTAGGAAAATATTTAAAAACTCATTTTTATCATTAAATTTCAGTTATTAGAGAGAAGTTTCTAAAAATATATAAACAATACAATACAAAACATAGTTTTCAGTAGTATAAGCGTACCAGGCAAGATTCACTGCAGATACATATATACAAAGATTATTTCGATGAATAATTGACTAGGTATAAAACAAAGGTTGTTGAGGCAGAATGTGAAATGATAACTAACACAAAATATTTCAGGAATTGAGATAAAGCTTGAAAATAAAGGCTACAACTCTGGTATCATTGGCTGCAGTTCTTGGGGTGAGATGGGAAAAAGAATAGGTATTACTCAGATAAAAATGAATAATTTTTTTAAGTCTTTAAAAACCCGGTACTGTTGTTGCCAGCAATCATTTTTTTCTTATTGAGTTATTAAACTGATTTGAGCAGATCTCTGAAACAAAATACTGCAATGTGATAAGCAAATCCATCAAACTGAGAAGTTAAATTTTCCAACCATCAAATACCTGCAAAATTAAAAAATATCATTTAGTTTAGAAGAATAAAATCAACTTTTAGTAAAAAATTTCAACGCTAAACATAGTTTCTTTAGTATAGAACAAAAGTGATGAATACAGGGCTTAAGGAAATCAGACTCGGTTATGAACATAAATGCTATCAAAAATTTTTGTTGCTGCAAGCTTATTTGTATAAACATTAGTTGGTAGCATAAAAATTATTTCAACTAATCTCTCAGAAATAAGGCTTTAAAGTGAACCTACATTATTATACTTTTTGCTTTTTCAATATAAAACCTTGTTTATGCATTCAGTCTCTTAATCCAAGGCTATTAAAAAGAAAAACACAGAGTAATGAAATAACTGTCTATATATGTTAGTTTACCCCATTTTAAATTTAATTATTTTGCTTTCAGTTTAATAATTATAATGCAGAAGACAAAATCTGTTAACCTAGAATCCATTCAAATGTCCACAGTGAAATACAGATGGTTCTGGCAATTTTTGGCAACATGTAATGTTTGACTATCATTCAACAAATATCTTGCCCAAAGTCACTAAACATATGTAACTTAAGTCTAAAGATTTTTAGTAATCACTGAAATATAAATCTACTGCTCTCAATTCTCCCAAATTTAGATTTCTATTTTACTATTTCTTCTATTCTATATGTTAACTAAGAATTTTTCAGTAAGTTAAAATATTTTCTTTCCAGTAGCTTTCTCAATAACAGAAACTTGTTCAATTCAGAAAGTAATATATTCATAAATCCTTAACACTTGACTAAAATACTTTAACAAAATCTACCTCTAGTTGTTAAACATATCCCCATAAATACACTAAGGCAAGAAATTATCTATATTTTAAAAATTATTCACTTTTATATACAATTTTTTTCCTATAAGTACTTTTTAAAGTAGCATAAAGAAATGAAAATTCAACTTGCCTAATAATTATTTTGTTTCAAATAATCTCCTAATTTTTCAACTACAGTGTTTAACTGACCAGGTGGAAAACCATCTGTAGTGGCAGCAACTAATAAACCTACAAAAAAGTATTACATTCATTCACTAACCATACTAATTTTCAAAACACATGGTACATTAATCTATTCATAAAGTATCTTGGAACAGAATTCTCAACTTACAAGTATTGGTGGCAACAACAATCAAGGCTGAACTGCCCTTCCTACCCCTCAATAAGGTGGGTTCTGCATATAAACAAATATACTTTTCTCCAGCAAGGTATATTCCTGTTTCTTGAAAACCAGCTGGATTAGTTCTCATGCCATCTGCTATAGTCTTTAGCTCCTGTTGTGTAACCTGTAAAGTCAATTTACTATCAGTCCTAAACAATATTTTAAAAAAATGTAAATTCATATGGGTACACGATAGCTAAACTATGAAGAAATATACTAAGAGTGTTTATGAACAAAAAATTAAGTAGTTTTACACGTTTCAAATGTTTCTCCTAAAGTAAATATAAAAACAAGGTAACATTACGTAGCTTCAATTTCTTGTCTTAAAAATCATTAAGGATTCATTTCTACTTCAATAAAATGAATTGCTTGTCATTTCTGATTATCTGCACCCCTGGAAAATATTCAAAAGGCAATGCACATCATTCAAATATGCTTATGTGACAACCCATGTATGCACACAAGCATAGCAGATTAATGTGGATTTCCACCTTCAAACTTGACAGAATTTTTCTGATTAGCTTTTGTTTTTGCACTGAGTATTTATTTATTTTGTAAATTATAACAGGACTGAGGAGTTTGCAGCTAATGAGAAAGGAAGTGTTGCATTTCATCAGAAATATGGTGTTTTGTCTAACAGTCCAGAATGCAAAAGCTCTTATTCCATGAAGTTGTACTTCTTAAACAATCAAATTTTATTCCATAAAATTGTGCACAATGCCGAATTTGCATTTTTTTGAAGCGAAAACAGATTGAAGTGTATGCACAGAAAACAAGAGAGCAAGAAAAATTACATGAGGATTTACTGAAAGAAATAAGTATTTTATTATGGATGTTTCTTATTTTTTTCATTGATTCATTGGTCTTTTATGGAATTCCTAGTGTGCATATTAGCTTTCATATATTAGTTTTGTGAAAAATTACACTTGGCAATTTTTTGGAGAAAGGTTGAGACAACCAGAGTACTAAAATAGATCAAGTACTGAAAATTAAAAATTCGCTATATATCAATATTCCTTTAGGCTGGATTTATTTTTAAAACTCAATTGAATAAGTCCATTACTTTACTACACATAGAGTCATACTAACAATTTAACTTTCACTTTTTTAAAGTGTAATAATATGTCTTTAACAATGTAAGGTGAATTCATCCTTTCCGGAACATCAAAAGATATTTTAGGACACAGTTGTATCTCCCCATAAAAAACTACAATAATCATAAAAAATTTATTCAGAAAACAAATTAAATATTTCATATAATCTTATCATATTTATTGCATATGTTCTGAAAATTATATTTTTGCATACATTAAAAAAATCCATCTGGATAATAAAACAGTATCCTATTGTTTGCTCAGATTTTATGAAAGATTCAGCTGGTTGTTTTATTTTTCCTGAGCAATACATATCATGGAATGAATTGAGGAGATAAATTTGGTTGGTTTAACAGGTTGAAATTTTTTATACACTTTTTTAAAAGAATCACAGAATTAATGCCAGTGATATTTTATAAATTAAAGAAGTTCCAAAGGCCACCAACTTGTTTTCTAGAGCAGAAACTGAGTGGCATAATTGGTCAAATGATTGATGTAGGAGTAAGGTAATTCAGATCATTATCAGAATTTGTTGACTAGTGCAATACAAAGTATGAAATCTGAACCTGCAGACCACAGCACAAAAACATGAATAAATAATGAAAAGAAATTCCTTCGGGTCCTCACTTCAAAATCCAAGTCTCCAGAATATAATACTCAACAGAAATAACTCAGATGATCAACAGACACTTAACAGAAGGTTTGTCATGTAAATGCAATTTCTATATGGACTAACAGATTCTTGCATGTCACTTTCAAACACTTACTGGCTAGGGAAACATAACATGGCCCATGGCAATAAGTCATTACCGGTTGTGATCACACTTTCAGTCCTGGAGTGGTTGTGGAGGGTCAGACCTTTTTCTATTTGACCTAAATAATATGTGAAGCTCTAATGCTGCCATGTTTACATGCTAACTAAGTGGATGATCTAAAATCAGTATATTTCTGAGATCTAGAGTAACCAAAATCTCAACCATTCTGGATTTTGGGCTTTGTATTGCATTGATAACTTTGATGGGAAAGATGCAGTATCTCAGCCTTATTATTGTTTTATCTCAACCATCAAAAACGACTTCATCACTGCATTCCAGACCAACCTTCTCTGATAATCTTAGTCATGATTAAAATCAAAGTATTTCGATAGCTTAGACATTTTCCCCCCATTTCCTAAAACATTTATTTGAAAACAAATTGTGCAATTAAATTTTAGAAAAAAGTTAATCTAAACACAATTCAAATTCTGTACATAACAAATGTACATGCATAATATAATTTAAAACACTTAAAAAGATTAATACCCAGGAACACTCATGTACCTCAATACTTAATAATAACCTATCATGGGTTATAAAGTTCTAGTGTCACTTGGAAGGGAAAAATTCAATTTTATTATGATGAATCATTTCTATCTTAAGGTACTCTCCTTCCAGGTTAACCTATTATTATTATTATCACATTGAACTTAGTATGTATTTGTAATTACTCTTGTAATTTAACACAAACTGGAGTCTCCTAACTAGAGCCCATGAGCATTATCAATCCAGCCCACCAAAGATTTTAAAATAAATTTATAAAATTCAAAATAAGCAAGGTAATATACATGTTAACTATTAACTATTTTATATAACCAATCTATAAATGCTTTGACTGTCAGACATATTCCTCATAAAACATATTATAAGCATTATACAACCATTTCTAAATTTACAATGAATGAAATACAATAATTATTAAAAAATTTGGCATTGTATTTTTTACAACAATAAAGGTTTTCATGTGTTATCTTCACCTAGTGTCATAGTAGTATTCAAAGTTTGATCACAGAAATTTTCAGCAGCGATTTTGTTTAAATCTTTTTTTTGTTCTGTATATTTTGTCTTAATTGTAATTTTGGAGATACTTTGTTTCACAAAATACTTGCCCAAAATATGAAATATCTATGACTGGAAATTCATACTTGATCAAAATATAAACAAAATATGCTGATAAATTGTTATGGAAGGAAAAATACAATGGAAACTGAAGAAATCTGATATTCTGGAACAAGAACATTTTTGCAAATGTTTAAAGAATTTAAGAAATTTATGTTAGGTGAAACTGTATGAAAGTCCAAAAAACAAGACTCTTCGTAATGACAAAATGGATACATACCATTTTGTTATTATGAAGAGCAATGACAAAAATCTAATTGCCTTGTTTAAAAACATATGCATGCTAGTCATCACACTTATATCATCATGGTATGACAAGCTAATTAATTAAGTCTTGGCCCTCAAAGCTTTGTGAAAAAGGCAATATGAATATGGCCCACAGGCTGAAAAGTTTAGAGATCCACAAAGAATGACTTTTACTTGACAAAGGCATTTAAAAAAAAACTGTGGACAAAAAAATTCAAAGAAATTAAGGAAAATCACTGACTGCTGATGGAACAGAACACAAAATTCCTGAAAGGTATATTTTTTGCTCTTCCAAGTATTTTACAATGGACTGTGGTGGTTTATTTTTAGATTTTTTAAAAACTATAAATCTCAATGCCTTTTCCAAAATAATAATCCCTAAAAAATGTACAATAATGAACATCTTGTATTAAATAAATGGAACAGCAGCATAAATATTTGCATTCGGTACATACATTTGACGCAGTTGAAATTATCTGAACGGTGTTACAAGATAAATATAAATTACTCTCACAATCAAATAATGCATTAATATTATGGATAATTTTTTTTTTTTTTTTTATGTAGCGAGCTAGTTTATTATTCGTTGCCTTCTAATTTCAGTGATTATTAGGGATACAAAACCGAATAAGGAAGAATAATTACGAGAGAAACAAAACCAACCTTCATCAGAGCAACGCCCAGCCCTTCAAAAATCGATAACATGCGAAGCAAATATACTGTGGTGGTAAAAGGTGAGAGGCGGTCGTTGCAGAGAAGAGAACTGCGTGAGTCACTGCAAAATCAAGACGTTGAACTCGCAATGGCTCACAACGTTTGGCACAATGCCTTATTGGCAGATGCCGACCTTGAAAGCCTTTAAATCATCTGGCGGCTGTGGTGTCGTCGCGCCTAGTACAACGAGTTTCATTTTGATAAACTGGTTATAAACGGTGCACAAGATCCCCGTGACACAACAACAGATAAAAAATATCACAGAAGTCTGGAAAACAAGTTTTTTCCTTTCAACCAAAGGCTTTACACTTTTAAATGCTACAAGAATTACAAAATTTTAAAATGAAAGAATTACAAATGCGCGCATAATACGACGGTTGCAAATGGTTTCAAATTTGATTTTGCAGTCGAGACATTTCATTCGTCACCAAGATTTTCCGACTGCTCGATATTTTAAGACTATGCGAATCAAAACAATCCAGTCTGAAGCCTAGCTAAAAACCACCGTAAATGAGTAATGCTAAAAGTCTTTAGATTACTTCTAAAACAAAGTCGCAACAATTACTAAATTGTTTTCAATTTTATTCCATTAAGAAACATGCAATATAAGCCACGACGTTTAGTAACAAGCAAGGCAGGTTAATTCTCTGTCTGCAGCGATGCAGAAAGTTCGCTCGCTGAACTGCCGATGTTATTAGCACTAATTCGCCCCGATTTTCGTCGGTTTTGACACTCACATGTAATAAATCGTTGCTTTAATTCTTGAAAAAATTTTCAGAAGATAGAGAAAGAAGATTTTATTTCTTTAGTTTTGTATAATTTTCCTTAATTCTCCTTTCTATAAACTGCTCGCTGCTTTGAAGGAGAAAATGGATTTATTAAATTTATTTATTAAATATCATGTTCTTTGCATACACAGTTCCGCGCGCTGGAGATAAAAAGGTTTTTTTCCCCGTAGAGTATTGCTATTGTTCGCTTTTAAATCGTCGGGTTTGTTAATCAAAAATTCGTTAAAGTTTCACAAAATACGAAATCGATAATAAAACGAATTCCAAATTTGGGCTTTCAGATGCCCATATTAGCAATAGGATTACGTCATTCAAAATTGGATGGCTCTAGGTACCGTTGTCTTATCA